GTGTTAATATTTCACAATACCTTCCATCAGTCAGCTCTACAACAGAGTTATTTCTTTTTTTAAGAGTTGCATGATTACATGATGGAACATTTTACAGGTCTGAAAATTAATACTTGTTTATCTTATGATCATTTTACTTGTGCTAGGATTTTGTATCCTAGCGCAAAGTTCCTCAAACAACAAGTGACTCCACCCCCTGACCAGTCAGTGACCGACAGTGCTCTGACGTCATGATTTAAGGCCAGCTCGGTACAGTTGGAACCTCAGAATAAGGGGACTGAAAAAGGGTCCGGTTCCACAAATAACTGCTTGTGGAAAAACCTTGGAACCGTGCCTAGCCAAGTTGAGCCATACTGTACTGGCACTAATGGAAAAGGAGTATAAGTGATTCATACCAGGGGTGCATAAGGTGAGCCACCCATGGGATGAAACAGTTATAAAAGTTCACCATCCCCAAAAAATCCTGCAGGGGCTTCACTGATGGAGGGTGAGGAAAAGCTGAAACTGCTTCAACCTTGGCAAGTAGGTGAACTTCCCCTTCAGAAGATATTCTGTGTCCCAGGAACTCAACAGCAGATAGACCGAAAAGGCATTTAGCTGGGTTCACGATCAGACCATGCTTACTGAGCCGAACAAACAGCTGGCAAAGTTGTACCATGTGTTCTGCCGCAGAAGGACTAGCCACCAATATACCGTCCAAATAGATGAACAAAAAGGGCATACCCTGCAGGACTGAATCCATAAGTCGCTGGAATGGCTGCACTATGCTTTTAAGGTCAAAGGGCATCCGTAAAAACTCAAAAAGATCAAAAGTAGTGATAACTGTGGTGTTGGGTACATCTAAGGGATGCACAGGAACTTGATAGTAGCCTCGCACCAAATCCACCTTGGAAAGAACAATTGCCCCTGCCAGGCAGGCAGAAAAATCCAGAATTTGAGGGACTGGGTACCTCTCGTTACTGGTTGTGTTGTTAAGGTGCCGAAAATCCCCACAGGGTCGCCAGCCCCCAATGGACTTGGGCACCATGTGCAAGGGGAACACCCATGGACTTTTGGAACATGGCACAATGCCAAGACGCTCCATGTTAACCAACTCCTCCTTAGCTATCGCTAACTTAGTGGTATCTAGGTGGCACACTCGTGCAAAAACCGGTGGACCAACCATAGTGATACAATGCTCCACCCCATGCTTAGCTATGGTAACAGAAAAGGTGGGAACTGTCAAAGCAGGAAACTCCACCAACAAACGCTGATACCCATTCAATTCAATTCAATTCAATTTTCAATTCAAGTCATTTTATTTATATAGCGCCAAGTCACAACAGAAGTCATCTCAGGGCACTGAACAGAAATACTTATGTACCCTTTATTCATACAGGTAGTTTCATTGAGCCACGAGAACTCATTTTCAAGAGAAACATTCATATATAAAATAATAAGTTAACAGAAACATTCATAAATAAAAATAATAATTTAACACTATTTATCTGAGGAGCAGACTGCTTTGAGTTTAACTCCATCACATAACTCTCATCTTGAGCAAACATGAAGGCAACAGTGGAAAGGAAAAACTCCCTCATGAGGAAGAAACCTTTAGCAGAACCAGACTCAGGACAAGCGACCATCTGCTTCGACCAGCTGGGTTTGGTCAGAACAGATACACAATGGCAGGTCAAGAATCATGTTAAGATAGAAATATTATTAAATGAAAACTATTCAATTTTAGCTAATCATTTAAGGAAAGGAGGTCAATTTGTCCTCTAGTAGTCTAAGCTCAAGGCAGCATAACAAGCCAACCCTAATTATAGGATTTTTCAAAAAAGGAAAGTCTTAAGCCCAGTCTTAAAACTGAACAATGCGTCAGCCTTATGGACAGAATCTGGTAGTTAGTTCCATAAGAAAGGAGCCTGATAACTGAAAGATCTTCCTCCCATTCTGCTTTTGGATCTCTAGGGACCACGAGATAGCCTACAGTCTGAGAGCGAAGTGCTCTGTTAAGAAAATATGGAACAACAAGATCTTGAATATAAGATGTAGCTAGGTTGTTGAGAGTTTTGTAGGTTAGAAGTAAGATTTTGAATTCAATTCTGGACTTGACAGGAAGCCATTGGAGAGAAGCTAAAACAGGAGAGATATGATCTCTCCTACTAACTCCAGACTCTGGCAGCAGCATTTTGGATTAACTGAAGACTTATACTCATTACCAGTGGTAAGCATGTTAGGAAGAGGTCAATGGGCGAGACCTCCAAGTTTACAGGGATATGTATCAAAAGACACAGCATTGATTAGCAACATGCACTAATAACCTGAAAGCACATAAAAAAAAACAACGCCCAAAATAGGTACAGATCCAGAGGCTATCACAAAGTCCCACTGAAACTGATGTCCATTGAAACACAGTCACTGACCTTGACCCAAAAGTGTGAGTGGGAGTGCCATTAGCTGCGTCCAGCCGGGGTATGTTACTCTGACACAAGACGTTCGCAGCCAAAACTGGCATAATGCTCCACTGTGCACTCAAGTCCACCAGGAAATGCTGTCCAGAAATCTCATCCATAATGAAAAGCAGCTTATCCGAACTGACAGCACACACAGCTGGCACAGGAACGAACACAGAGAAATGCAGTGCTTTGCCTTTACTCCAAACTGGTGGTGGTAGAAGCAAAGCATGTTGTCCTTCTGCTGCTCCGTCTCCACAGCCACAGCATCAACAGCCTCAACAGCCTCCGCCACCCCTTCCCCGAGTCATGCCCGGTAAAAGTTCATGCACACCTGGAAGCTAACAAAAGCCAGCCCGCTTCTTCAGCCAGGGAGCAATAATCCTTTGTCTGGATCAGTGGGGAGCTGGTCAGCACAGTTTGAACAGGTGGAGGAAGCTGGCAACAAAACAGGTGGGTAAAAAGGAAGGAAACATCCCCTGAGCCAAGTAATTTCAGCATGTTTTCCATCAGTTTGGAAGGCTTGCGATCCCCCAAGCTGTTCAGGGACAACAGTCAGCTCGCTCCACGTCTGAAAGTTGGTAAAGCCATAGTAGGTTCTCCTTGAGCGCACTATATTTGTTAGTGCTTGGTGGGTCCTGCAGCAGACCCATCAGACGACAGGTGGAAACAGAATCCAAGGCAGTAATGACATGGAAATATTTGGTCTCGTCTGTGGTTATTCTACAGAGATGGAACTGGGTTTCCACATGCTGGAACCATGGTTCTGGATCATGTTGCCAGAACTCTGGAAGCTTAATAACGGCCGCCTAAACAGAAGATGAAGCGGCGGCAGGAGATGAGACCACGACAGTTGGAGTAACGTCTGCCTGGCAAAAAACTGAGTCCGAAAACACGGCTGGTGGATAATCGGCGTCAGCATCGCATCTGGTGAGTTCTCATTTGAAAACATGTTCAGATGTTCGGGGTCACCAATGTGGAAGTCAGCAGAAAGAGATGAAATATATTTTGAGACACATTATTCTCTACGTCTTCCAACATAAAAAAAAGAATGAATGACAACCGTTGGTCTTCTCTTATATTCTGTCCCTTTCACAATAATAGCTTATTTTCTGGCGTGACTGCAAGTGTCCGCCACAATACAATCTTAGAATTTTCAGACATGTTAAAAGGGATTTATATGTGTGCATGTATATGGGTATAAGTACATGGATAGGTGTGTGCACATTGGGCTAAACTTATTTTTTTTATTTTGTGTGCGTTCAGTCAAAGTAGAATATGCAGATGTGGGTTTGTTTTGCAAGGAGTTATGCGTGTTCAAATGTGCATGTGTGTGTATATATATATATATATATATATATATATATATATATATATATATATATATATGTGTGTGTGTGTGTGTGTGTGTGTGTGTGTGTGTGTGTGTGTGTGTGTGTGTGTGTGTGGATGCACAGATTCATGTTGGTGATGATGTTGATACACCCTGTGCAGTGTGCAAGGTTTGATATGTCTGGAATGAATCAATAAAGTTAATTAATTAATTTAAATATATATATATATATATATATATATATATATATATATATATATATATACTGTATATGCTTGTGCTTCAAATTCCCATGACCTTGTGTAGGTAATTAATCTTTCATATTTACAGAGATCATATTGTATTTTAGTAACATGTGTTTTTTTGTTTTTTTTTAAGTGGATACAGTAGAAGTGCTTATGAACTAAATCCATGAGGCTGGCTCTGTGTCAAGCTGTAAGTCGCTCGCTGGTTTATTATTCTTTATCATATTTATTTATAATAAAAAAAACAACATATCATATACTATATTTATATTCGACACCAAAACATACCTTATAAACCACTGACGTTTATATCAAATCAGATATGTAACCTTGGTTGCCTCGGAAATTCAGACGCCATTGATCACGTGACTCAGACCAAGCGAATCAAGCTCCGAGTCTCCGACGCACGCGTCATTGTTTTTTATATGCGGTTTAGCTTTAGCTTCAATGTGTCCGTCTCAAAGTTTCAGCGATTTATAAAGTTTAAGATTTACAGTAAATCTTTCGTCTCGAGTTCGGCTCAGTAACTGTTAAAGGAAACTTTTGGTCAACAAAAGCTAACAGATCTGAAGACGGCAGGTTAAACAACGACTGGAAGCAGCAGCGGAAGAAATGTCGGGGGGTTTAGACAAAACGGGCCCAGATTATGAAGAGGAACGGTCTCGTTTAAAAGAAAGAAGGCAACATAACAAAACCCTGGATGCTGCTTTGAACCCCAGAGATCGTCTGCATAGATTGGGTTTGTATAAATACATTCATCTTATTTAGTGTGATGATGTTAGCTGCAGTTTTTGTAGCTTAGCATCTTTAGGACCGTGTGGCTCGTCCTCTGCTGTTGCAATTTCACCGCGTTTATCTTTTTTAAAAATCCAGCCAAATTGTTGTTGATGGATCCAAAAAGGTCGTTATCAAGGTGAAATTTACTTTAGAGCAGGAGTTACCAGCCCTTTTGAGACTGAGACGAGAGCTATTCCCTTGGAACCGAGTGTACAAACAAATTTGCACAACTCACCGTTAATTAAATTATCAATAATAATTTACATATATGTAAATATATGACGATGAATGACTCCTCACAATAATTATCTATAATGATTTACCTTGGCAGATATGATCATTTATTATTGATAATAAGTGATTAGAACTGTCCAGCCCCCCCACCCCAATCCTGATTAGGAGCAGCAAGGGAAGGGAAGTTTGAGATTGTCATTGTATGTTCCCATTTGGCAAATTTAGTTAATGGATGATTTACTATAGCAGGAAAAGGATATTTAAACATAAAACTTTTATTTTATTGGAATCTCAATCAGTAACATTTGAAATTCAGTGTATTTTTAATAGTGTTTTTTGTATTTTTAAGAGTAGTATTAGTACAGATCACAGGCGTTGCAACAATTATGTCAAAAAATATATATATTTTGGGACCCCCCTCCCACACACACATTTACCATGAAATGGTTAACCCTGCGCCGTTTCTATTTCTTTGTGAACAAATCCATTCCACTTGATTAATAAGAGATAATAATAATAACCACTAAAAATCCTCTCCAGGTTTTCCACGAGCTGGTTTATTATGGAGGCAAGTAAAAATACTTACACTAATTATTTTTTTGTGGAAACACATATGATTATACTTTTGCATTTTCTCACACCGGATTAAAAAAAAGTTGTAACAAGTTTAGAAGACTCTGCAACATGTTTAATTTGTTCCTTAAAGAACCGACGGAAAGCTCTACACGTGTTACCATCTTCTGGGAGTCAGCCATAAGATCTTTTAAGAATTAAGTTTCAGGATTTTTTTCTGATGTCCATTAATTGATGTTTTCAAGCCGATCACTGAACTCTGTGATAACACAAGTGATGTTTGGGTGAATATAAAGTTATATCTGTCCTTAATGTGTTTCAGTGTTCCCTGCAGATGTTCAGCAGACAGTGCTGATTAAAGAAGAAGCTCCTGAAGAATGGAGATCTAATGTGGACCAGAAGGACCCAGAGACCCTCAACATAAAGGAGGAAGAAGAACTGAGGACCAGTCTGGATGTGGAGCAGCTCAGTGTGAAGGAGGAGACTGATGACACCAGATTCTCCTTCACTGCAGTTCCTTTAAAGAGTGAGGATGATGACGTGAATCCTCAGTCCTCTCAGGTTCGACTCTGCAGATTAGGTTTGTATATTTGGATCAACTGTGATGATGTTTGTAACATTCTGGGCCGGTTTCACAGACAAGACTTAAATCTAGTCCCAGTCTAAAATGTTGTTTAAGCTTGTTTAACTCAAAGTCCCTTGCACAGCCTTATCTTAAAAAAGTTGCAGATTTAATGTGTTCTCAGTAACAGATGGCAAGCGTTGATTTCACTGCCTACTCTAGTGTCTGGTGCTGCCTACTCTTGACTGGCGATTTTTATTTTTCCCCCTTTGGAGTCAATTGACAGGCCGCCGCATAATAGTCACATGAGCGACAACAAAGTCCATGCTCAATAATACAGGTATACAGGTATACAGTCACGAGCGATTTCAGTTGCTCTAATGGGAAAGACACAGCCTCTCAGAGATTATTGCAGTTTTCAAAAGTACTGACTTTAAACTACACATTAGTTTTTAAATTGTATTGACAGTTCAAATAAAACCAAAGTTATGATAAATAATCCACGCTACATCTTTTTCTGAAAATCATAGTCGTATCTGAAGCGCTTTAGAGTGAGAGGCTGCGGAAAAGATGGGCAGTGTCAGGGGCAAAAACACCCCCCATCATCCTCTGCTTTCACCTCCCACACCCGCCTAACAGATAAACAGCCTCCCCGCTTCTTTCTGACAAAGGCGCAAAGTTATTTGTCATGCTCCAAAAACATCTACTAGAAGAAGAAGAAAGAGACACGGAAGTTGAATGGAGTTCAATGTGATAAAGACACAGCGGGAGCAGGAGAGTCATGAGTTTGGAGAGATTTGTAATTTTAGTGTGTTTTGGTTTTATAGTTAGTAGGGGTGTAATGGTACACGTGGGTGTACCGAACCGTTTTGGTACGGCATGTTTGGTTCAGTCCACGTGCGTACCAGTTCAGTTATTTTTTCACTCATTAAATTTTATTAACGAGAGATTATGCGCCGTGGAACTAAAGTTCCTAAGCGTGTTTCAGCACGGCGCTATTATCTTGCAGCACGCTAGTGGTCTCCTGTTTGGGAACATTATATCTTTCTTGTTAAAAGACAAGTGAACAAATCCAAAGCTGTGTGTCGACGTTGTTTCACGGAGAGGGGATCTGCAGCAGCAACACGTCTAACTTATTAACGCTCCTGAAACGACATCATCCGGATGTGAACGTCTCTTTTACAAGCAAGAAAAGCAGCTTTTTGCAGACCGAAAGCAGCAGCAGTAGCATTTAAACGACCTTTATCAGGTAATTCATATCGGTCCAGAGCAATAACACAAGCTGTAGGAGATTTTAAAGCTCTGGATCTACGTCCGAATGTTGATGCGCCGGCTTTAAAGTTATTGAGCCCCGCTACGACATCCCATCACGTCAACACTTCAGCCAAAATGTTAAAGCAGCACTTTATGAAAAAGATACAACTGACATTGTCAACAAGCCCTGGACCAGATTAAAGCCCTGCCCTGATGATGATGATGACTGATTCAACCACCTCATAACAACCATTCAAGAAGAGGTATTGTTCTTTTATTATTATTATTATCTAATTAACTTTTTTAATTTAAAGTTATCTTGTTAACTCTTTTTTTTTTTACCTATTTGTGTTTTATTTCCAGTCTGGGACAGAGATAGCAGCTGAGTCTTCCCATTCAGGGAAATCCACCAGCGATCACCTCCAGCTAAGAAGTCTGTGATGAGTGAACTCTGAACTTTTCCAGGAACCTGTCCCACCTGTGGGAGCAGGTCCAAGAGGTTGAGTAATGAGGCCAAATACAGCCACACTGCAAAATTAGCAAAGTGCTACTTTTTTATTCCTGCCACCACCTGTTGTTAGTGAGCGGTTTTCTCCACTGCCAGAGATATTCACTGCAACAAGATCTGTGCTTTTTGCAGAAAATGTGGACAAGTTGGTCTTTTTGGCCAAAAACTTAAAACTTGATTAGTTTGATTGTAAACGATCTGTTGCTGCTTATTGTTCTGGTTCTGACTGTCATTGTATTTATTAAGATTTTCATTATTGTTAGTATAGTTTATTTATTGTAGAGTGCAGTTGATTTAAAATATCATCAAATTGCATCACTTTGTTTATTTTTATACAAACATATTGTTTACTTGGCATATTAAAAAAAAAAACGTTTTGTAAGTCTTCATTTTGTCTTTTTTTTGTAACGAAAATTAACCGAACCGAAATGTTATTTTAGCGTACCGTTACACCCCTAGTGTTTAGTGTTTTGTTTAGTCGGTTTCAGTGTGTTTGATTCAAAACACTGAGACAGTTGTTGAGCATGAAGCGGACAGAGCTTCAGACCCACAGGAGGACGGAACCACTAAGCCAGAACCTCTCAGACAGAGAGAACATTGTTGATAAAAACAGTCTGGGTCAGTTGATGAAGTGTGTGATCATGATTTGTTTTAGGCCCCATTTACACAGACATGGTAGGGGGAAATGTATGGGTTTTTTTTTATGTTGGATTTGAGGAAAAAATCTGTGTTGACACAGAGCGGTTTCGCTGTTTAAATTTGCAGCAACCCACACCCCCCCCCCCCCCCCCCACCACCACCACTAAGAGGAAAGATTAAAAATACACAATAAGATAAAAACCATTACAAAATATTAGTTTGTATTCATTTGTAACCATTTATTTGATGAAATGAGGTCAATTTGTCCACCAGTAGTCTAAGCCTATATCAGCATAACTAAGGGATATGTCAGGAAACCCAAGCTGACCCTAACTATAGGATTTATTAAAAAGGAAAAAGGGTTGTAAGTGCAATCAACCAGTTAGAGAACAACAAAAATGAAAGACTTGAGCCTAGATTTAAAAGTGGACAAGGTATCAGTCTCACAGACAGAAGTTGGAAGTTGGTTCCAAAAGAGAGGAGCCTGTCGCCTTCATGCTTGCCCAAGATGAGAGTTCAGCGATGGAGTTAAATTCAAAGCAGTCTGCTCCTCAGATAAATAGCGTCAGCTATTTTTATTTATTTAATTTATTTATTAATTTTTTATTTATGAATGTTTCTTTTCAGTGCCCTGAGATGACTTCTATTGTGACTTGGCACTAGAGTTGCACTCGGGTCCAAATAATCCGAACCGACTCGGCCCCAGCATGCAGCTATCATCTTTGAACACCACCCGATCCGACGAATTAACAGTAATTACAGGTCCGAACCCGAAAAAAACCCCGACATTTTATTTCAGCTTTGACTGCTTATACCACTGATTATTATTAACGGTTGGCAGACGCACGCGGCTGAGGGGGCAGAAGATCAGAGCCGAGGAGCCATCAAAGCACATTAAATGCTTCCACTGCTTCTGCCTGCATTGAACCCTGCTATGACATGTCAGATATTTTGTGATCTCACCTGTTTGGGTCTTCGGCCGTGCGCATCTGCAGAGTGCAGCAGCTGAATGAACATCCATTTGGGCTGATGGATCGCTGAAAGTAGTCCATCTGAAGCTTAACTGAACTTTTTACCTCTTTCAACTGGCCAGTCAGCTTGTGGTCAAATGGCTGCGTGCAGCAGGTGTAGTATGGCAAGCCATGTTTGCATATATTGGATCGTCAGCTGCACGCTTCCCTGACGCAATAAAAAGCCCAACACCGACTCGGCCCACACATTAAGCACGTTATTATGGCCCGGTCCGAATCAGGGTCTTGCGGGGCCGGGCTCCGGGTTCAGGTTAGAAATGGCAGCTTTACTTGGCACTATATAAATAAACTGAATTGAATTGAATTGATAACTGAAGGCTCTGCTTCCCATTCTGCTTTTGGAAACTCTAGGAACTAGAGCTGTCTTTTTCCTGGTTTTTCGAAACCACGTGTAACATTACAGCCAATCACCGAAACTTGACACTGAAAGACGAGGCATATTTTGACAGACCCAAGCAGTTCAGTCAGTACCATAAAAGAACCAAAGTTCGGTACTCAGCCCTACACCAAGCCTACCCATCAATTCCCCAATCCCTCTCTGTTTCCTTCACCAACATGTCCTTTCAGGTCTGTTTCAATCACTATTCTCTCCTCCCTGGGAATACTTAGAGATGCACCGATCCGATACCAATATTGGTATTGTTTTTTTTGTCTTTTTTAAACTTCTGGATCGGGTATCGTGACAATGTGACCGATCCATGACTGGGCAGATCTATTCACTCTAATTCTATGCTTTGCGCTCTGAGTGACGTCACGCGCTAGCATACTGACTGAACAAATTAAAGTTGTGTTGTTTTTACATGTTTGACCAAGCTTGTGAAGCTCTTGGTGTGTTTAAGTGTGCTGTTATGGTGCAGAGTTTTCAATAAACTTGTAATTCAGTACATAAAACAAATGTTTTAAGTTAATTCAGCACTGGGTTTGTAAGCTCAATCATCCAGGTAGACAACAAAAATGGCTAAATCATGTCATCCGGACCCATTTCAGAAACGGATCCAGATGACATGATTTAGCCATTTTTGTTAATTCAGCACTGTTTTTCTGTACCAGATCGGTATCGGATCAGTATCTGTCAATAATAAACCGCGGGTATCTGTATCGGATCGGAAGTGAAAAAAAGTGGATCAGTGCATCCCTAGTGACAATGCTGAGGAGACAACGTGACTTGGCGAGCCGGCCTCCAGGTTGAGATAAAAAAAATGTTTTGGTAGACAGCAGGTTCTCAAGGCACGCAATAAATTTGTTTCTCAGCCATCTTTGCCACAATATAAAAACAGTAACATTCATAACCTTTGACAGAAAATTTTCCAAAACTGCTCTATTTGTTTTACCATCTTATGATAGCCAGTCAAATTGTCTGTCCCACTGAATTTTTGTTTCAGGAGATTTTTCTGAAGTCCAACATTAGAAGTTGTTTTAAGTTGAGCAGTGAACTCAACAAGTGATGCATGTGTGACTATAAAGTTACAACTGTCCTTAATGTTTGTGTTTCAGATTTCCCTGCAGATGTTCAGCAGATGATTTCAGTTGTTGCAGAAGGTTCTGAAGAATGGAGGTCTGATGTGGACCAGAAGGACCCAGAGTCCCTCCATATGAAATGTCATCAGCACCAAGTGGAAGATGAAGATCTTCCAACCAACAGCTCTGCTGACCAGATGAATGTAGCAACTGTTGGAGAGGACTGTGGAGGAGCAGAAACTACCAGGAACCCAGATCTGAATACTAATGAAGATGATTCTAGCTCTTCAGAGACTGAAGTCAGTGAGGATGATGATGAAGATGTGAATAGTGCTGACTTTCTGCTGAAAGACTCATCAGACTCTGGATCAGAACCTGACGACAGAGAGTCACGGGCTTCTGAGTCTTGTGTAAACACCGTCAACAAATCTTGCAGCTTTTCTGAGTGTGAGACACAGTTTCCCCACAAGGAGTCTGTCCAGAGAAACATGACAAGTCATTCAAGAATAAAGTATTCGGCTTGTTTGGTTAGTAAGAAATATTTTCGTGTTACGAAAAATGGAGGCTTAATTGAAAAAATCCAGTCAAGACAGAAATCATTTAGTTGTGATGACTGTGGAAAAAGATTTAACAGAAGAGATCATCTAAACATACACATGATTATTCACACAGGACAGAAACCATTTGCTTGTGATGTTTGTAAACAAAGCTTTGGACACAAGTCACATTTAAACAGACACACGAGGATCCATACAGGACAGAAACCATTTGCTTGCGACGTTTGTGGACAAATGTTTAGAGATAAGTCTCATTTAAACGCACACATGAGAATCCACACAGGACAAAAACCTTTTGTCTGTGATGTTTGTGGACAACAGTTTGGACAAAAGTCATCTTTAAACAGTCACACGAGAATCCACACTGGACAAAAACCATTTGCTTGTGAATTCTGCGAACAAAGGTTTGGACAAAAGTCAACTTTAAACAATCACATCAGAATCCATACAGGACAGAAACCATTTGCTTGTGATGTTTGTGGACAACAGTTTAGAGACAAGTCCACTTTAAATAAACACATGATAATCCACACAGGACAGAAACCATTTGCTTGTGATGTTTGTGGACAAAGGTTTGGACGCAAGTCAAGTTTAAACGCACACATGAGAATCCACACAGGGCAGAAACCATTTGCTTGCGATGTTTGTGGACAAAGGTTTGGACGAAGGTCACATTTAAAAACACACATGAGAATTCACACAGGACAAAACAATGAAGTTATAAACATTAAGACAGTTTCTAAAAACACTTCAAAGTTCACTCAGTCTTGAAACTGAACAGATATGACATTTTGTAAAAATTATTTTGAATAATTGTTTTTCATAACTGCAGTATTTTTTATTTAAAGTAATGTATGTGTTAATGTTAGAGATGTAATATATTTGTACAAGGCTGTCACAGATTGTGCATCTGAAATGGATACAGAGATGCTAATGAAAAGTTTGTTGGTCACAGGCGATCACCTCTAGAGAAGCAGGCAGACAATTTATTTACAGTGGTTACTGCATTTTCCTAACTGCTATGATATGTAGAAGAACATACCATCTGAATCTCTCCACACCAAAGCAAAGCATGAATATTTTGTTTAGATAAATCAGAGGACTTTGAAGACCTGCCTGTTTATTTCAAGTGAGCTGTGTGGAAAAGATTTGTGATTGTAATTACCACGGTCGATGAAGAGCAATGAAAGGTGTTAGTATGGCAAGCCAAGTAGGTCATGAACTGAGGGACTTGAAACACTGTGGCAAGCCATTGGTATATATATTTTTTAATAATCCTGATATCAAGTGTCATATTTTTCATACTAGCACGCAAGCAGCTGAGAGCTGTGAGTTTTCAACGTTTTATTGTTTTGCTTACATAATTTAATGAAATTAAATTGTTGTAAAATTTGTCATTTTAAAAGTTTTTGATTATAATAACTTTAGTGTTTTCTGTCTGTTGGAGATAACCATGCCCTAATACTTTTTCATAACCAAAAATATATCTTCTTTAAAGAACAAATCGTATAAGGCATAGAAGGTTTCCTTGTCTATTCATCATTTACTTGCGAAACAGCTTAAAAATGTCTTGGATCCACTTATTGATCAAAGTCTCAGGATTCATGAGAAAAAGACATCAACAATATTGGACTTGTTTTCAATATAATTTAATACTCATTTCTATGTCCTGATGAAAGTTTTATCGTCCTGGATTTTATAAAGCATTTGACACAGTAGAGCATAATTTTATATTTCAAATAGAGTGTTTTGGTTTTGTTAAATTTTTCTGTAAAGCTGTTAAAACTATGTACACCAATGGTAACAGTTCCATTAGACTAAAAAATGGGACTTCACCAAGATCTGAATTACAGTAGGGTATCCAACAGAACTGCCCAGCATCTCCTTATTTATTATTTGTGTGTGTGTGTGTGTGTATGTACACAACTTCTATCCACTCGTATTAAAAAAAATAGTCCATTAAAAGGTATCTTTATTGCAGGTAGAGAAATTACAATTAGTCATTTGGCTGATGATACCACTTCATTCCTAAAAAATGCCACCCAAGTTCCCATTGTTAGCCATATAATAGATATATTCTCTGCAGCTTCTGGACTCGGCTTAAACCTGAAAAAAATGTGAGCTTTTTCCTCGTAAAGACTGCAACAATCCATTGATTTATAAGATACCAATCAAAAACAATCACTCCTACTCTGGAAATACAGTAATGAAAAATAAGATTGATGCTCTGAAAACTAACATGATTATTGAAAACTCAAGGAATAAACAACCAATGGCTTCAAAAAGATTCATCTCTGAAAGGAAGAATGTTAACAAAGGCATACATATGCAGCTATCCTGTCTCGACAAGCAAATCTACTGCCATTAATAAGTTACTGTTAAATTTTCTATGGAAAAATAAAATGCATTATGTGAAGAAATCTGTTATTATGACCACTTATGCTTCAGGTGGTTTAAACTTTTGGGTTTTGGGTTAAGCAGTTTTTACTTAACCCTGCATCTACATGGAACTTTATACCCAAATATGATTTTTCTACTTCTGGAGGCCTTGAATATGTACTTCTATGTGATTTTAAAATGGATAAACTTCCCCTTTGGTTATCAAATTTTCATAAACAAATGTTGTGAACATGGTCTTTAATTTCTAAGCACACACCACACTAAGGGATTTTAAACAACTATTATGTTCATTGCAAAAATCAATGCAGACATGCACCTGTTTTCAGTATTTTACATCGCTTTATAATGTAACTGTTTTTGTTTAGTTGTATATCATTTTTATTTACTTTTCATTTTGTATGCTTTTATACAGTATGGTTATCTGTTTTGTCCCTGTGATGGACTTGTGACCTGTCCAGGTTGTACCCTGCCCCTCGCACACTGATGGCAGCCATGGGCACCGGCGACCCCCGTGACCCAAAATGGAAGAAACGGGTAAAAGATAATGGATGGATGGATGTCAGTTTTGTCTGTAAATCATCTGTGTTCTTTGTTTAAAATTGGTCTCTCTTGTAAACAAGTCCTCGATGCTCAATGAGACTAACCTGTATGAATAAAAGTTGAATGAATGAAAAAAACAATGTCGAAGAGCTTATGGACTGGTAAAATAAACATAAGGCTGGCTCCATGTTATGCTTTATGTCACTCACTGGTTCGTTATCTTTGTTATATTTATTTATAGCAATATAAATAAATATATTGTATATTATATATTAAATTCGAAACGAAAACACACCTTAATATTAACCTTTAAATTTTATATCAAATCAGAAACTCAACTTCTGAGCTCTCGGCACTTCGGACGTCATTGATCACGTGACTGAGGCTAACAAATCGAGCTCCGACTCAGCGTTTTGCGTCACTGTTGTTTTATTTAATATGTACTTCAGCTTCAAACAAGCCGTCTCTGCTTTTCAGCGATTTATAAAGTTTCTGTACCGTTGACAGTGAATCCACCTTCTTGAGTTCGGCTCAGTAAGTGTTAAAGTAAACTCTAGATCAACGAAAGCTAGCAGATGTGGAGACAGCAGGCTAACAACGACTGGAAGCAGCAGCTGAATAATGTCGGGGTTTCTGGACAAAACAGGCCCAGATTTTGAAGAGAAACGGTCTCGTTAAAAAAAAAAAAAAATGCAACAAAACAAAATCCTGGATCCCGGAGTTCGTCTGAACAGATTAGGTTTGTATAAATGCCTTCATATTATTTAGTGTGGTTATGGTAGCTGCAGTTTTTGTAGCTAAGTGACTTAGCAGCTAAGTAGCATCTTTAGCGGACCGTGTGTATCGTGTACTGACGCACTTTCGCTACTTTTCTCTTTAAAAAATATCCAGCCTTGTTGATCATACCTGCGAACTTGTCGCTTTTCGGCGAAATTAGCCGATTTCAAACTAAAATACTGTATGTCATTTATGTGAATCGTGTAGATCTGGGGGGGTTGGATGAATGAGAGAAGCTGAGCGATAAGTATTTGTGTTGTTTTAACATTTGAAAGATGTAGCTGTCTGCCACATTCCCCAAGATTTTGCCCAAAGATTTGACAAATCCAGCTGGTGGTATTATAGAGAAAATCTTGAAGGAGAAATGTCGTAGCCAGGGCACCGCATAACCAGAAGAGCTTCTTTCTCAGCGTGACATCAGCCGAAGCGAAGAGTACTTTCAGGAGGATTAATCCACACAATTCAACTGACCCAGACAACATCCCCGGGAAGGTGCTAAAAGACTGCTGATCAGCTCTGCGAGGTGCTGGACAACATCTTTAAACCCTCACTCACCCTGGCAACGGTTCCCACCTGCCAGAAGACTGCCACCATCATCCCAATCCCAAAGAGCTCTACAGTGACTGGTCTGAATGATTACCGGCCAGTAGCCCTCACCTCGATAGTCACTAAATACTTCATAAAACTGGTCATGACTCACATCAGAACAACCACCAACATCAATGAGGATCCTCATCAGTTCGCATACCGTGAGAGTCGATCAACAGAGGACGCCATCTCCGCTGTGGTCCACACTGCTCTCGCCCACCTGGAGCAGAAGGACTCCTACGTCCTTATGCTCTTTGTGGACTTCACGTCCGCCTTCAACGCCATGATCCCCCAAACCCTGATGGACAAACTACTCGCACTAGGACTAAGCCCCTCCATTTGCAACTGGGTTCTAGACTTCTTAACAGACTGCAGTCTGTAGTCACTCTTTACATTGATAATTTTTTATGTTATTTTCTTCTCAATCAATTCCACAGTGCTAACAATAAAGTTTGTCAATGAGAATATTTAATTAATTGAGGTCTAGGATGTGTTATTTTAGTGTTCCCTTTTAAATTTGTGAGCAGTGTATAAAGTCGAGCAAACAAACAATAGTTTTTAGGTGTTTATCTTGTTAAATTTTGAAGAAATGAACAGCGGCTCATCCCTCTGCACCTGCTCGCTTATGCGAATCGGGTTTTGAAATACAGCTGATTTTACGTCAAAGTGCATTTATTAAGCAAAAGGTAGACTGAGACACACCTTTACTATAATTTCAAGCAATCAATTGTTTTTAAGTATTATTCTTGTTAAAGTTCTCCTGTACACGCGGCTGCCACAGCTCATCGATTTTTGGCACAACACTGGTCCACCTTTCCGGGTTGTCAGCGGTGACCTGTAACAAACGAGACACGTCAGCAGTGACGCATAGAAGATGCGACGTATATGGTGAAACAACATATTTATGGGTTGTTCCACTTTTTTAGACCTATTTGGACTGATGCGACTTGCAGGCGGGGCGACATGTATGGCAGAAAATACAGTAATGGATTTTTGTGGGAATACATTCTCCTAATATGAGCACATTTTTTGCATTTTCTCACAGCTGATGAAAAATCTACAGGTTTAGAAGACTGCAGCATGTTTACATGTTCCCTAAAATAACTAACTGAAGCGCTACATATTTTACCATCTTCTGGGAGTCGGTCATAAAAACCTCTCTCTTTTATGGATTTAGTTTCAGGACATTTTTCTGACGTCCAGCATTAGATGTTGTTTTGAGCTGATCAGTGAACACCAGTGATAACACCAGTGATGTTTGTGTGAATATAAAGTTATAACTGTCCTTATTGTTCATGTGTTTCAGTGTTCCCTGCAGATGTTCAGCAGACAGAGATGATTAAAGAAGAAGCTCCTGAAGAATGGAGTTTTGGTGTGGACCAGAAGGACCCAGAGACCCTCATAAAGGAGGAAGAGGAGGAACTGAGGACCAGTCTGGATGTAGAGCAGCTCAGTGTGAAGGAGGAGACTGATGACACCAGGTTCTCCTTCACTGCATTTCATTTGAAGAGTGAGGATGATGAAGAGAAACCTCTGTTCTCTCAGCTTCATCAGCATCAAGTGGAAGATGGAGATCTTCCAACCAGCAGCTCAGCTGACCAGATGAAAGCAGCAACTGGTGGAGAAGATTGTGTTCAACTCTGCAGATTAGGTTTGTATTTTGGAATCAATGTCAAGCTTTGTAAAAAATTATTTACAGTTTTTATGAAACTAACCAACTTTTTAGGAAGTTTTTGTGTAGCTATTCTTTGAGTTTGTAGCTTAACTTTCTAAATTATTTATCAATGACAGGGCTGCAAAGAGACAAAAGCAGATGTTAGTGTCCTTTTAGTATATGAACAGTTCTTTTGTTATTTTATAAAGGTAAAAACCTAAAGGCCCATTATTTTATAGGCTGTTCCCACCAGGGCTGCCAACTTTTAAACATTTTGCACATTTGGGGCCTCTTGCACAGACATGCTTGGATTTGATTTTGAAACTGCGTATGCCTACATCAAGAAAACAGTACGCGTAAAAAAATCCCATGTATAAAGCTGCGTGTAGACACAAATACACATAAGTTTACTTTGTACATCATGATCAATGAAGAACTGAGTGCACATGAGACCACTTCGGCTTTTCCCTTTTCATGCGTCGCCACAGTGAGTCATCATCCTCCATCTTTCTCTGTCCTCTGCATCCTCTGTCCTCACTTCAACTACTTCAACTTTACAGAGAGATCCACACTTTTCTTCAGAAACTGGTCACACCCTTGGTGTCATTATCTCCGCTCATAGGACAGCCTACTCTTACCCACGTGACCTGACTTTCAGCAAATAATACTTTCATCCTTGATGTAGACAATCAAGTGTCAAGCTTGTTGCAAAGTGCAGGCGTGTAACTGAAACTCTTTCCTACCGGAAACAAAAACCCGGAAATAAAGAAGGTTCTGCATCGTTTTGAGATCATCTGATCAGCTGCTTTTGGCTGTTCCAAAAACAAGACTGAAGCTCAGAGGAGATCGGGCTTTTTCAGTCATGGGCCCCAAACTCTGGAACAACCTGCCCCCCAACATCAGGCAGGCCACCTCCATTCCTCACTTCAAATCCCTGCTTTAAACACATCTGTTCTCGCAGGCATTTCATACAGTGTAAATTGATCTAGTGTTTTTTAATCTGTGACCCTATGTTTTAAATGCTTTTTATTAATTCTTCAGTTATTATTATTAGTGTATTGTGTATATATATTTCTCTTTAATTTACTCATTGATTGTTGTTGTTGTTGTTAAGCACTTTGATAACAGGTTCTGTTTTAAATGTGCTCTATAAATAAAGTTGACTTGACTTAACTTGACAACAAGTTTTAAAATGCAGTTATACTGCAGGCCATAGGTGTACACAACTTTCAGTAACATAACAAATATAATACTAATAGAAATATATTTCACGTTGGACCACCTTTAGCTTTACAGCATGCATTCGCTGTGGCATTGTTTCCATAAGCTTCTGCAATGTCACAAGATCTATTTCCATCCAGTGTTGCATTAAATTTTCACCAAAATCTTGCATTGATGACCAGGCACTAGGCATGAAGGGTGCAACACTTCACCTGCCTCTCTTCTAACCCTGATGCGCCCATCACTCTGGAACAGGGTAAATCTGGATTCATCAGACCACATGACCTTCTTCCATTGCTCTAGAGTCTAATCTTTTTGCTCCCTAACAAATTGAAGCCTTTTTTCCTTTGGTTAACTTCACTGATTAGTGGTTTTCTTAAGGCTACACCGCTGTTCAGTCCCAATTCCTTAAGTTCCCTTCACATTGTGCATGTGGAAATGCTCTTCACTTTCACTATTAAACATAGCCCTTAGTGCTACTGTTGTTTTTCTTCGATTTAATTTCACCAAACGTTTAAGTAATTGCTGATCACGATCATTCAGGATTTTTTTCCAGCCACATTTCTTCCCCGAATACGATGGGTCCCCACTATCCTTCCAGTTTTTAATAATGCGTTGGACAGTTCTTAACCAAATTTTAGTAGTTTCTGCAATCTCCTTAGATGTTTTCTCTGCTTGATGCCAATGATTTGACCCTTCTCAAACAGACCGACATCTTTTCCACGACCACGCGATGTTTCTTTCGACATAGTTGTTTAAGAAATGAGAAGCAACTCGTTGCACCAGTTGGGGTTAAATAACTTGTTGCCAGCTGAAAGATAATCACCCATGCAGTAATTATCCAATAGGAGGCTCATACCTATTTGTTTAGTTCACAGGTGTCAAGCTCAAGGCTCGAGGGCCAGATGTGGCCCGCCACGTCATTTTATGTGGCCCACGAGACCTTAAGATATGATTGTCGTATAATAAATAAGTCAAAAGGGTGCACTGACAACAAATTGCATTTCCCATAATGCATGCCGATTATGTTACCTGCGAAGTAACAGCATCCCACCACTAGACTGCAGTTTTTCCACATCAATACATCAATTGGAGAGTGGTGGCGCAGAGGTTAGAGAAGGTGGGCCTGTGATCAGAAGATCGCCGGTTCAAGTCCCGGTATTGACGACATCAAAAATATGGGTAGGGTAGGTGAAGCACCCACACCTGCCCCCACCCTCATTCGCCCCACTCTGGGCCCATGAGCAAGGCCCTTAACCCCCATCTGCTCCCTAAACAGGTCTCTCTTGAAAATGAGTTCTTGTGGCTCAGTGAGACTACCTGTATATAAAGGGTAAATGAAAAAAAAAAAAAACTATTTTCCGAACAAGTGTAATTGAGAAATACAAGCAATGATCCTAAAATGTCCAGGAAGAGAAAAAATGTTGCAGAAGGAAGGCTGTTTTCAGAAAGATGGGGAGGCAAATCTATGTTTGTGCTTCAAGGAAAGAAACTGATTTGTCTTTTGTGTAATGAGGCAGTGGCGGTCGTCAGAGAGTACAATCTACGTCTGCATTTTGACACCAAACACGGAGCCAAGTATGCCAACATGAGCCTTCAACCCTAATGTTGTTTTGAATTTTTTTAATACTTATTAAGTGTATTATTATGTTAAATTTGCAGCAATGTATTTGGGATTGCAGGTTTATGTTTATGCAGGCAAATGTTTTCTATTATAATACCATCTCTCATTAGTTGGATGTATGACCCTTGCAAGGCTGAGTGCACCCATTTATTTTTATTTTTTTTATATTTTTTTGTAAAATCTGTCACACATGTTCTTAGCAGCTCACAATTGTTGGCTAGACCATTATTCTGCCCCTCTTATGACAAAAAAAGTTTTGAACAAAGTTAATGTCATAACTTGTTATTTTTCCTTATTCACTTGGAAAGTTTGATCATTGATTAATGGAGTAATGTTGGGTTTGATAACCTGGCAAATTAAAATGTTTTGTGTTATAGCAGAACAACAAGCGGACATATTTTTCTACATCTATGCAACTATATACATGTGTAAGTTGAATAAGTAAAAAAATTCAATTATTTAACATTAAGGGGTAGCTGTTTATTTTACATTACATTTAGTTAAATTTAGCTACATTTAAACTGTCTTACAGTTAAATGGTCCTTTGAGGGCAACCATTATGCTGATGTGGCCCTCGTTGAAAATTAGTTTGACACCCCTGACTTAGTTAAATCCAGGTGGCGACTTTTTTTCTTTTGGCCAGGCAGTGTAGTTCATATACATTTGACATTAATAAGTGAAAAACATCTGTGACCTTTCACATCTCCATCATTAATAACACACAAACTACAGATCCCATAATGCAGTGTTTTAGTTGCCTTGCTGAATGCTAGGCTATCTGGGAACATTCCTGCGTCAGTCAAGTAAAGCTTCTGTTGCTGTATAAAATCCTGTTGTAAAGTTATTGCGAAGCTAGCTCCTCACAATGGCAAAGAGAAAAGTTGACTCTGAAAGCAGAGCCTTCCAAAACCAATGGAAGGCAATGTTTACTGATGTTGCCAATAAACCCATATGTCTCATTTGTGGAGCTAATGTTGCTGTAATTAAATAAATTAATCTAAGACGGCACTACGAGACAAAACATTGGGAGCTGCAAGACCTGAATGCACAGCAGAAGATACAGAAAGTACAAGAGTTAAAGAAAACCGAGATTTCGGCAGACGTTTTTCACCAGAGCAAAATCACAAAGTGACGTTGCTGTGAAAGCAATTTTTAATTGTGGCAGAGGAGATAGCCAAATCAGCACGACTGTTTACTGATGGAGTTTCTGAAGAGCTGCCTGATGGTGTGCCATGTTTTATGTCCAGACTAGAAGCAGATGTTGGCAAATGTAAGCCCGAGTAAAAACTGATAGGGTTGCTGATGGGGTTTAAGGGATGGCCATTGATTTAAGAACACAGTTGAGTAAACAAAGCAAAAACTTCATTGCATGCTCTCTTGCTGTAGATGAAAGTACTGACATGACCGATACTGCACAGCTAGTCATCTTCTTCTGTGATTTGTGTTAGAGGAAATATTGCACATTAAATCAATTCATGAGACGACAGGAAAATAAATTTTGGAAAACTTATGTCAAAGCGTAACTAACATGAAATTTCCCTGGGACAAACTTATTGGTCTTACAATTTTTTTTTTCCTCACTCGCTCTCGAGCAAGACGGATGCTTTTTCTTCCCTCTCCTGTCTCCCTCCTGTTTTTTTGTTCTCTGTACTGTGTATCGGAGTTTCTATTTACAAATCTTCCAAATTATAAATTACTGTCATGAATCTGGTCAGCTGGACTTTCTGCGCAATTGATAAAAAAATTTTCAACCAAGCGACAGGGTCCTGGAGAACCCTCATGCCCGCTGAGATGCGCACGGTAGGGTACGTCATGGATCTGTGGGGGAAATGGAAGCTGATGTGCTTTTCTGTGTTATCTCAGAAAGATGCCTAATATGTATATATCACTGGATTTATGATAGCAGGGTTTCTGCTTTTTGGCACTGTTGAATACCTATGTTATCGACTATTAAAGAAGACGGCGGCCGCAGTTTCGGGCATGGCAAAGCTGCCAACCTTATGTGAAGGATTGGTTCGTGCTTCGAGCACTCAGACTCAGCTGATTTACGAGCTCACCCGTAAGATGGAAGCGATCTATGAGAATCGTAGGCCACTTGCAGCTTCTGGGACTCGCCAGCATGTTGGGGACGACCTTAGAAGAAGCTAATAAGCACAGACCAGCAGAAAGCCCACAAATATGACCATTTTGGATATTGAAAGTATCAGTAGAAGTCAAGGCTGACTAGGGTGGGTGATATGGCTCAAATATAATAGTAATATTTCAGAGCATTCTGATGACAATGATAAATTTTGTGATATAACAAACCAAAAAATAAAATAAAATCATAGTTATTAATTTGCCTAAATTAATTTAACATATTGCTTTGCAGTATTATAAAAAAAAAAACTAAAAAAACAAGAACAAGGGTTAATTTTACTGCAATTTATTTAGTAAAGTATTCGGTCTAAAAGTAAAAATAAAAAAATATTGTTCTGTTATTTAGATTGAAAATTCAGGTTGAGCTGATTGAGCTGCAGTGTAATGGGACACAAAAGACAAAGTATGACACTGCAGAGCCTGCAGTTTATTTGCTCCATTCCTGAAGCAATGCCCAGCTTCGGCTGCATGCGACTCGAACCTTGTGCATGTTTGGTATCAAATATCTGTGTGAGAAGCTGTTCTCATGGATGAAGATTAACCAAACAGCAGACAAGAGTTTTCTCACTGATGAACACCTGCAGTCCGTCCTGAGAATCTCTGCAACACAGGAACTCACACCAAACCTAAACAAACATGTTGCCAAAAAAAGATGCCAATCATCTAGCTCTGACGAAATTGCATAAAAGCAAAGAAAACTGAACGTTTCGATTTGATGTTACTTTAATGTTTACTTAAAAACACTATTTTTATTTATGTATTTATTTTCAGGGTTTTTTGCAGCATGTTTGTGTTTCTAACAGGTATTTATTTCAGGATATATTTTTATGGAGAGCAAAATATTAAAATTTTTTTTTAAAGTTTAAGTTTATTTATTCTGGACTTCTGGAATAATATTCCTCTTTTTTTAATATTTAGGTTAAAAAAACATTTAGTTTCAGTGTGTTTAATAAATCTTTATCCTTTTTGGCCCGTGCTCTGAGTTTGACACGCCTGCACGTAGGAATGCGCGATTTATGCGGTACACGGTAGAAACAATAGACATTTAGCCTATGATAGAGATCTGTCTTCTATTGTCTAACCATAGTAGTGCTGTGTCTGATATAAACTCAGTTGGCAGATTTAACCGTTAAGTTTTTTTGCGTTGAAAACTGTGCGTAAATGTTGTTAGTCTGTTTGCTTGGAGAGCTAAGTAACGAAGCTACATGCTACCTACGGCCGATTTGCTGTACTGTTGCCGTATTCAGACGCATGTGCAAAACACTGTGTTCCGTCGAAAGTTAAAGTAAAGCGTTGGTCAGCTTTAGAGAGTGCATTTGTGCTAAAAAAAAAAAAAGGTTAAACCTGCTCTCTGATCTGTGAAAAGAACGCTGTGTTGTGTGATTTTACTGTGAGACCCTCTGGTCAAAGCCACAGACTCATTTTGTGTCAGCTCTCCATTAAAGCAGGAGTCGCCAACTAGAGGGTTGGAGGCTGAAGTGTTTTCAGTGTAAAATGCTGCTCTGTTGCTGTTCATTTCTTAAGTGAGAAGACTGGAAACTGTTACATATTCTTTTGTTTAAAAGCTATGGCTAAAACTACATTTTATATATTTTGCACTGTTTTGCACTACAAGCAAGAAGCCTAATACTTGATTTGTTTATTATTTAAAAACTCTCTGGACCTAGTAGTGGAATTTTTTTAATTCAAAATATATGATAGCAAAAGGACACCATATGCTTTAAAAAAAAAATTCCTAATAAGTTTTATACCCAAAACATATAGCGATATATATCGTTATCGCCACCATTCACAATACATATCGTGATATGAATTTTATGCCATATCGCACATTCCTAGTTGGGGGGTTAAGTGTTTTCAGTGTGCATTATGTAAAATGCTGCTCTGTTACTGTTCCTTTCTTATGTGAGAAGAGTCAGAGTCAGAGATTCTTTATTGTTGTTCGCACCACATGTGGTGGAGCGAAATTATGTACATAGGGTCCCAGTTACATCCAACAATAAAATGTAAAAGAAAAACAATTATCATCTAAGATATGAACTAAGAAAAACATCAACTAAAATACACTAAGCACTAATAGCGTAAAAACATTGTCGAACAGCAGCACGAACATGAGCATGAGCCTGTGTGAACAGATGAAGACTGAAGACTGGAAACTGAAGAAGACTGGAAACTGTAGAATTGACAACATTATTTTGTTTAAAACTTGTGGCTAAAATTAAATTTGATATCTTGCAATGGTCCAGAGGACCATACTTAACTTTTTTAGATTTTTCTACCTGGATTATTGAGCATGCATCAGGATATCTTTTGCACTGTTTTGCACTACAAGAAAGAAGCCTAATATTTGATTTGTTTTATATTTAAAAACTGTGGACCTAGTAGTGAAATTTTCTTGATTGATATTATTTTGTGGTATAGCAGTTTTCAAAATAAATGACAAAAAGACAGTCTGTTTTTTTCTTTTCATTCCTATTGCAAGTTTTATACCAAAACATATCATGATATATATTGTAACCGCCACCCATCACAATAGATATCGGGATAAGAATTTTATGCCATACCACACATCCCTCCCTGCACGTTTTACCATCTTCTGGGAGTCGGCCATAAGGGTTTCTGGTTTTTTATGGATTTAGTTTCAGGGCATTTTTCTGACGTCCAGCATTAGATGTTGCTTTACACAACTGATGTTTGTGTGATTATAAAGTTATAACTGTCCTTATTGTTCATGTGTTTCAGTGTTCCCTGCAGATGTTCAGCAAACGGTGCTGATTAAAGAAGCTCCTGAAGAATGGAGTTCTGGTGTGGATCAAAAGGACCCAGAGACCCTAAACATAAAGGAAGAAAAGGAGGAAATGAGGATCAGTCTGGATGTAGAACAGCTCAGTGTGAAGGAAGAGACTGATGACACCAGGTTCACCTTCACTGCAGTTCCGTTGAAGAGTGAGGATGATGAATTGACACCTCTGCTCTCTCAGCTTCATCGGCATCAAGTGGAAGATGGAGATCTTCCGACCAGCAGCTCAAGTGACCAGATGAGTGCATCAAGTGGTGGAGAAGATTGTGGAGGAGCAGACACTACCAGAAACCCATATCTACATACTAATGAAGATTATTCCAGCTCTTCAGAGACTGATGTCAGTGAGAATGATGATGAAGATGTAAATGATCCTGACACTCTGATTAAAGAATCATTGGACTCTGGATCAGAACCTGAAGATGGTGTCAAAGACTGGAAGGAGAGCAGGACTCCTGAGTCTGGTGTAAACACTATCAACAAATCTTGCAGCTTCTCTGAGTGTGAGAAACTATTTCTCCACAAGGAGTCTGTTCAGAGAAACAAGACAGGTCATTCAAGTATAAAGTCTTCAAGTTGTGTGGTTATTAAGAAATGTTTTAGAGGGAAGAAAACAGGAGGCTCTAACAAAAAAGTCCAGTCAAGACGGAATTCATTTAGTTGTGATGACTGTGGACAAAATTTTTACAGAAAAGATAATCTAAGCAAACACATGAGAATCCACATAGGAGAGAAACCATTTGCTTGTGATGTTTGTGGTCAAAGTTTTGTACGAAAATCAACTTTAAATGTACACATGAGAATCCACACAGGACTGAAACCATTTGCTTGTGATGTTTGTGGACAAAGGTTCGGAGTAAAGTCCACTTTAAAAGTACACATGAGAATCCACACAGGAATGAAACCATTTGCTTGTGATGTTTGTGGACAAAGGTTTGGAGTAAAGTCAACGTTAAAATCGCACATGATAATTCACACAGGGCAGAAACCATTTGCTTGTGATGTTTGTGGACAAAGGTTTGGACTAAAGTCACATTTAACAAACCACTTGAGAATCCACACAGGACTGAAACCATTTGCTTGTGATGTTTGTGGAAAAATGTTTGGACTAAAGTCACATTTAAACAGACACATGGGAGTCCACTCTGGTGAAAAACCATTTGCTTGTGATGGTTGTGGACAAAGGTTTAGACTGAAGTCAACTTTAAACAAACACATGAGAATCCACACTGGACAGAAACCATTTGCTTGTGATGTTTGTGGGCAAAGGTTTAGAGAAAAGTCAACTTTACATTTGCACATGAGAAACCACACAGGAGAGAAACCATTTGCTTGTGCTGTTTGTGGACAATCATTTGGAGTAAAGTCACGTTTAAACGCACACATGAGAATCCACACAGGACAGAAACCATTTGCTTGTGATGTCTGTGGACAAAGGTTTGGAGTAAAGTCCAATTTAAACTCGCACATGATAATCCACACTGGACAGAGACCATTTTCTTGTGATGTTTGTGGACAAAGGTTTATATACAAGTCAACTTTAAACTCACACTTAAGAATTCACACAGGAGAGAAACCATTTGCTTGTGATGTTTGTGGAAAAAACTTTGGACGAAATTCAACTTTAAAAATGCACATGAGAATACACACAGGACAGAAACCATTTGCTTGTGATGTTTGTGGACAAAATTTTGGACAAAAGATAACATTAATCAAACACATGAGAATCCACACAGGACAGAAACCATTTGCTTGTGATGTATGTGGACAAAGGTTTGGACTAAAGTCAAATTTAAGCTCTCACATGAGAGTCCACACAGGACAGAAACCATTTGCTTGTGATGTTTGTGGACAAAGGTTTAGACGAAAGTCACATTTAAACTCTCATTTTAGAATCCACACAGGAGGAGAAAACAGTTCAGTTTTTAATATTTAGACAGTTTCTAAAGACAGAGTTCACACAAACTCGAAACTGTACATCTAAGTTTTTTTGTAAAAATTATTTTTTGAACAATTGTTTTCCATAACAATACTTTTTTTAATTTACAATAATGTGTTTGTGTTAGAGGTGTAATGGTACATATATTTGTATATATTTATACATTTGTATTCATTTGTCTGAGTTGGTCACAGGCAATCACCTCCCTCCTCTAGAAGTAGGCCCACAATTTATTTAATTGCATTTTCCTAACTTATGATAAGTAGAACAAATCTTCTGAAGCTCTCCACACCAAAGTGAAGCATGAATATTTTGTTCAAATGAAACATAGGAGCTTGAAAACCTGCCTGTTTATTTCAAGTCAGCTGTGTGGATCCTAATTATCACTGGCAATGAATGAAAGGTGCCAGTATGGCAAGCCAAGTAGGTCATGAACTGAGAGACTTAAAACTCATGTTGGCAAGCCATTTGTGTATTTTTTCAATAATCATGATATCAAATGTTATTTTTTTTTCCACACAAGCACTCAATCATCTGAGACACCAAGTTGTTTTTTTATTTTTTTTTTTTTTTTTTTTTTTTTTAATGAAAATGGCTATTCATATAAATTTGTAAATTTTCAAGTTTTTACTTATAACTTTAGTATTTACTTCCCCATAATAATAAGTATGTTTTCTTTAAAGAACAGCTTGTATAAGGTATAAAATAATTAGCTGTTTTCTGTTTTTTCATTTACGTGTTGAATCGGCTATAAATACAATCAAATTTTTTTTTTTCTGTGTTAAATATGTTCTATCAAGTCTTCATTAAAAAAATAATAAAATTAGGTGACAGCTTTCTTTATCCTTTGTTCTTTTACATTTCAGGCTGAATGTTTGTTTTTTATGATTAAAGTGGAAATAAATGTACGGAAAACAGATTCCACCATGTCTGTTTTGTTTGCGTCTATTAGTCTGTCACAGGGTTGTAGAGGAATTTTGCAAAAATGCAGGGTCTTTCCTGAAAGAGATGACATCTAGATGGGAGCATATGTTGTTCTAGAACCTGAACATAGTTTTCTGCATTAATGGTGCCTTTCCAGACATGCAAGCTGCCCGTGCCACAAGCGCTCATACAACCCCATACCATCAGTGATGCAGGCTTCTGAACGGAGTGTTGATAACAACTTGGGCTATCCTTGTCCTCTCTGGTCCGGATGACATGGCGTCCCAGTGTTCCATAAAGAACTTCAAATTGTGACTCATCTGACCACAGAACAGTCTTCCATTTTTCTACACTCCATTTTAAATGACCCCTGGCCCAGTGCAAACGTCTGAGCTTGTGAAGCTTGCTTAGAAATGACTTCCTCTTTGCACTGTAGAGTTTCAGCTGGCAACGGCGGATGGCATGGTGGATTGTGTTCACTGACGATGCTTTCTGGAAGTATTCCTGAGCCCATTCTGTTATTTCCTTGACAGTGGCATTCCTGTTTGAGATGCAGTGACGTTTAAGGGCCCGGAGATCATGAGCATCCAGTAGAGTTTTACGGCCTTGATCCTTACGCACAGCGATTGTTCCAGATTCTCTGAATCTTTTGATGATGTTATGCGCGGTTGATGATGATAACTTAAAAGTCTTTGCTATTTTACGCTGGGTAACACCATTCTGGTATTGATGCACTATCTTTCTGTGCAACAATGGTGGAATTGGTGATCCTCTTACCATCTTGGCTTCTGAGAGACACTGACACTCTGAGAAGCTCTTTTTATACCCAATCATGTTGTCAATTGACCTAATTAGTGTTAATTGGTCTTCCAGCTGTTCGTTATATGCTCAATTTCCTTTTTCCAGCCACTTATTGCTATTTGTCTCAACTTTTTTGGGATTTGTTGACACTGTGAAATTTTGAATCAACATATTTTTCCTTTAAAATGTTACATTTACTCAGATTAAACATTTGATCTGTCATCAATGTTATATTATGAATAAAATATTGACATTTGCCATCTCCACATCACTGCATTCAGTTTTTATTCACAATTTGTTTAGTGTCCCAACTTTTTTAGAATCCGGTTTGTAGTAAAGGTGTGTCTCAGTTTAACTTTTCCTTAATAAATGCACTGTGACGGTCAAATCATTTGCATTTTCAAAACAAATATGCGGAAATGGGAATGCACAGAGGGCGACTGGCTATGCACTTCTTCGAAATTTAACAAGATAACTACCTAAAAACAATTATTTGTTTGCTCGAAATTATAGCAAAGGTGTGTCTTATTTGAACTTTTACTCAATAAATACACATTAATGCTCGGGACGGCGCAGCAAAATGAAGCTGATTTGACAGTTGCGCCAGGTGAGTTGGATAGCATCTATGGCAAGCCAATTGTGTCATTAATAGCCACTTTTACCTAATACATGACACAACGGCATGCCATACTACACGAGTGCCATCTAGCGACTGAAAATGATAGTGTTCAATATTTACAATCAGAATGAATGAAAATGGTCATATCTCAGCCAAAAATTGATTTATAAATATGGGGAAAAAAATCCATAAATACGTTGCTTTGGCATATAAGTTGCAGGGCATGCAAATTATGCAAAAAAACATGATTTATAGGCGAAAAATATGGCATGTGTTGACATATTTGGTATGTTTGAGAACAAGTTATTAAATAATCTAGAGTCGTCCTAGTTGGGAACATATACTGAAACCAAAATCAGTGACAGTGTTTATAACTTCCCACCACTATAACATACCACCAGGCAGTATCAGGATGCACACTCGAGGTTGCAAATTATACCTGCTTGCCAACTATAATAGCTACCCCTCTTGATTTGGATGGACAATTGGATTGACACACCTGACCAGACTTAACAAACTTTCCACCATCTGCAGAACACACACGGGGCTTCTATATAAAGGCAATATCAGTGTTCATATGCTTCAAGTATAACATAATTTTCCAGAATTTTACAGGATCATTAAGGAATTTCATATTCTAGCTTACACAATTAACTGGGCAGAAACTAAAGTGACCAGCATCCTTAACGATAGTCATGGTTGAACAACAAGAAATATTTTAAATACAAAATATCACAAGCCAATACCTGATAAAAGAAAGAAAAAAAAAAGACTGTTCTGGTATAAACCCATCCCTCTTTCCTACCCAAACACAGAGAAAACAAAAACCACTGTCAACAAAAAAATCCACACATTAATGCTTACCCTAGAGAACACAATCTGACCATCTGGGCTCTCGTCTGCCCACATATGATAAAATAGTAATTACAAAACATAAAAAGAAACAACAAAATATGCAAATATTATCATAAATATCAAACATGTACCTAAAAAGGAGATACATAAATAAAAAAGAATAAAAAACACTTATATTAGGGTGTGCACTATACACCAGAATATACGGTAATCAATTCAAAGCATTAACACTGTAGAATACACACAAAAAAAACGCTCCCATATTAGGGTGCATACGAGGGAGCAGTGGAAAACTTGGAAAACTGAAACTCGTTTTGATCAGGGGCTCAACAAAACATGAGAGGCTTTAGCCCCAGAAGCCCTGGTCTGACGACTTGCCTGGATAAACCTCTCTGTATCCATAAATTGAATTACAGTAACAAGGAGATTGAAGTTTTCACTTAATCTTTGGTTCTCTTCTTTTATAATATAAATACCAAGTGTTTTACTGGAAGATATATA